CAATATCATAACCAGAGTTTTCATTTTATTAGTAATGCCATGTCAGAAGGGTTGTGTGTCCTGTAAATCAATCATGGGGATAAATGTGGAAATTTGTTAATAAAAATCCAAACAGAACTATTTTGGAAGCCGCCATGGGTGTTAGTCATGGATGTTGTTTAACTGGGCTGATAGCATGGTATTTGGTGTTGGTGGTGTGTCACTCAATGTCACTGGCCCTCGTTAGGAGAACCCAAGCATTCATTGGCAATTAAACTTGCAGCATTGGAGTTTTACTTTATGAAGTCTTTGTCATGGTGGAATACACCTAAAATAGTGGGCTCTGATTGCCAGGCATTGTGGGACAACCTCAGGATCATTTTAAGGAAAAAAAAACCACACACAATAAAATGACCTCTTTTCGCCTCGTAGTCCCTCAATAATAATATACTGAGAGGCATGCATTCACCTCCTCCGGGTTAACTGTGTGATGATCATTATTCTTTTAATGTTTTACATTAATCTCCATGTTTTCTATTAGTGCTAGCTGCTGCTTATGTTTCTCAATGCCACAATCAGGGTATTTTTGATATCTTGTATTACCCTAATCGTCAAGAAAGATGCTCCAAACTGATTAATTCCAGAATGATTAAAACATCCTATGCAGTTCATTTATTGTTGCTGCAGTTAATTGAATATTTGATGATTTAAAGGTACCCTGATTATTTCCTAAGATATGTATTTATCACCAGGCAGATGATCTGTGCATGGTCTCTCTGTGGCTACATGGCATGGCAGCCTGCACTGTCACATGCAGAGAGGGTAGGCACTTGTGAGGGCTCTCAGACAACTCACCACCTGCCCGATGTGTGCCTGCCTCCCCTGGCCCTCAGAGGACCACATCCTGCCCAGCACAAGAGGGTCCGCTGAGGCCAGGAGCGAGAGCACAGCCTTCCCTCTGCAGCATGCAGCTTGCTTTCTGCTCCAGGAGGAGGGGGCGGGGAGGGGAACGCCAAAGGACGCTGCGGCTCTGAGTGGCTAACTTGCGCTTTGTGGACTATCTGAATACTCAAGAGTGGATTTAAAGAGAGGAGAAGGTGGCTCCAGCATGAAAGAGCAGCTTGGCAACTGGTCGGGCAGCAGTTCTAATCCCAGTGTCACCACCACTAGTTAGTTCTCTTCCTCAATCTCCTTTCACACCTGTCCAAGTGACTCCAGAATTACTGCGAGAGGGGTGTGTGTGTGTGTGTGTGTGTGTGTGTGTGTGTGTGAGAGAGAGAGAGAGAGAGAGAGAACGAACAACTGGACAAAATTGGGGCCGAGCCCAGGCTTAGTTCAGCTTCCTTCCAGTGGGCAGAGTGACCCCGGTGCAGCTCTGCAAGGGGCTCAGAGACTGAAGTGGCCTCAGGTGGCCGCACCACTTCTCGGCCATGTCAAGTCCTTGGCCTCTCACTCCCTTAGGGAGTGAGGACTACAGTGTGGACCTCGGCGGCTGGGAGCTTCTGTCGGACATGGCTCTGTCCGTGAACCCGGTAGGTACCCTCCCCCTGACACCTAAATCAGACCTCCTGTTCAGTATTGTCTGTCTCCCGTGTAAATGTTTGTCTCCCCAATTTGCGTGGAGTCTTGAAGGCAGAAATTATGTTGTCTTCAGTGTCTTTAAATCCTCCCTCTTGGCACCATCCTGAGCACAGTGTGAGCTCAATCAGGATGTGTTGTCGAAAGTAATAAATGGGAGAACTGATGAATAGCAGAAGGGTGAATGAATAGATCCTATTACCCTTGTCATGGCCACCTTACAATGTATGTCCCAGTGGGTCTCTAATTGTTTGTTTTCCCATCCCATCTAGACACGTAACTCAGAGAGTAAGAGGCCAACCCCCGCCACGCCTTGCAGCCTTCTTTCTAGGCATGGAGGAAATCCTTGATGCTTAATTCAAAAGCACTTGCAGGGGGAGAAACACTTGTGGCTTGAATGTAGTTTTCTCGCAGTGAAAACAGCTGTGGGGCAGGGCTCGCTGAGATTGCGGGACTAGCAGCTCCGTGTGAATGCTGGATTCCAGTGTTTTCTAAAAAAAAAAAAATCCGACTTCACGTGGATGCATATTGATTTGACTGCCCCTGTCTATCGAGTTTCCCCAATCCTGAGTGCTGCTGACCCTAATAAGTCATTATTAGATTTGCTGCAATGCCCCAGAGTCCACAACTCTTTCTGTTTTGACAGCGTTTTCCCCCATAAGGAAATGGATATTTATAATACCAGGTGTAGAGATGATATTTGCAGTTGGCAAGAGTGAGTCAGATCTTACCTTGAAAAGATGAGAACTGGGCTGAATAATAAAGCAGTAAGGAGAAAAACAGGACGAGGGGGTAATGGCCTGACACATTGTGTGGGGTTTGTGGGTTACAAAGCACATTCACATGACTTATTTCATTTGTGGCTCACAGAAACCCTGTGAGATTTGAAAGGAGCAGGTATTATTATTGTTGTTGTTATTTTATTTTATTCTATTTTATTTTACAGTTGGGAAAAGCGGAACTTAGGGGGGTAAAGTTACTAAGTCATGCTACCAAGCGATAGGGCTGGAACTCCCATATAACTCATTAGACTCCTAGGCAAGTGTTCTTGCTGTGTCTGCATGTTGTTGATATTTTTTCCTCATTAATGTGTTTGTTTGGAAAGAGGAGAACAAAGACCTTTTCATGAGTGTGGGCTATATGTTTTTAGCCCAGGCAGCCTCGCTGATACAATGCAACAATGCTATTAGAGATTGAAGTCTTTGCTATAATCATTTTGACCTTTGTGTTTGGGGAAGGTATTTGTTAGAAGTTCAAGAATTGTCTTGGAAAATACAGTTCCTGGAGCACTGAACAATGGAATGAGTTTTTATTTGCTGTTAAGAATAATCATTTCATCTCTATAGTCCCGTAATATGTTAAACTAGTATCTCCCAGTATATGTTCTGCAAACATTCATTCTGTGTAATGGTAATAATGGTTTATTGGGAGGGGGAGATGGGCACGAAAACGAAAAACCCAAGAATTCAGTGGTTAAGAAAGTTGGGAACGTGCTGCACTAAATCAATTCAATAGATGTCTCAAAGCCTTTAATTTGCAACATGGGCCTCCAAGAAAGGAATGGATTGCAACATTTCCCACACTTATTTGGACAATGAACCTTTTATTTTGCAGAACTAGTGTCCATGGGATGGTCTCCTTTGTAGCACTTAGCACAGTCACCATTGTACCTTAACCATGCAATTCCTCATATCTTCCTTCCTCTCGAGTCTGCCAACTCCATGAGGGAGGAAACTGTGTTTCCTTTTACTTTCCATTGTATCTGTGCCTAGTGCAAATCTGGTGGCATAGTCCTTGGCCCTCAAAAAATATTTGTTCAATGAATGAATGAATGAATGAATGAACTATCCTAGGCCAAACCATCTAGGGTTCCCTATCGGAAACCTGTATTTACAATGTGTTGTTTCCAATGTTTGTCCAGACAACTTTTTTCAGCCTTTCCTTCTACTTTTCTTTCTACCCAATATTGGCATATGATTGCTCTTGGAAGGATGACTGTATAATTTATCAACCAACCTGGGAAGTTTTTGAAGAGGAAAGGGGACACTGTAATTAATTACACCAGGATAACCCAGGCTGGATGGCCCCACATTGTTTGTGATTCTTTCTCAGCCTGCCTCCCCCCACTAAGAATTTTATTTTCCTGGGAGCAGGGGCCTTATAAGGAGAAAGTATTCAATCAACATTGGCTGAAATTGAAGCATGGACAGTAGTGACTTGAATACTAATTTAAGATTTGCCGATGATTTTAGCATGCATTTTTTTATGTTGAGGGAGACTGAAGCCACATTCTAGTCCCCATTGCCCCAAATGTAGTTATGCTTCATACTCTGGTGTATCAGAGTAACTAAGGGGTTAGGACTTCATTGTCCTTGTGAGAGTCCTGGCCTGTGGCCTGTGTGGCAGTGCTGTCTGTATCTAGGACTGGCCTTGCACTTCACAAGGCAGTGAGTCAGAGACACCAAATGTTCTTCCAAGAACTGGAGAGAGTTGGAAGTGATCAGATTCTAATCCTGAAGAGAAGGAAGGTATACAGAGAGTCAGGAATGTTTGGGGGATGTGCAGAACCTGCACAGGTGACATCAGGTGGCTGTCCCACTCTCAGGTCCCTTGTCATATACTGCTTTATTGCTGGTGTCTCACTTTGGTATTTGGCCTCTTGTTTTCCCTGACTGTGGAACCCCTGGAGGAAAGGGCCACCTGCCAGACATGGAGTAAGTCTTCAGTATATTCCTACTGGTGGTTTGAATTTTGATTGACTAGGAAGGGGCCCCCTGGGAGAGATGGCTCAAGGGTTCAGTTCGTGTATCTGTGAGAGTCTTCATTACGTGCCAAGGGAAGCATGCACTTCACACAGGCGTTTTGCCCTTAGTGTCTTGGATAAGAATTGTGGGCATCTGGTTGGACTCCTCAGTTCAAAGAGAACTTAATTAAATCCTAGAAGTGTTGCACATAGGCCTAATCTTTTCAAAATCTCTGATGCTGAAGAACATCCTAAACTAAGTCAGAAGGTGAAAGAGGCCTTAAAGAGCACAAAGTTGAGCTCCTTGTCTGGATAGACGAGCAAAGCGAAGCCCGGATAATAGGGGAGGATGTCTCAGTGTCCCCACAGCCAAACCAGTGACAGGACAAGTAACTTTCTTTCGGCACCTTGCACGGCAGTCTTTCTGCTTCATGAAAGTAACACAGAATTAGCCATTTGCAGATACTTACTGCTTTGTCTTTAATAGGGAAAAAATGCATTGATAGCTATATTTCCTTTCTTTACACTTTTTCCTACTCAGTAAAATATTGCGTTGTCAGAAAAGTCATGACGCATTTTTGCAGCAAACAAAAAAATAGAAAAAATATGTCATGACTTTTCCGACAACCCAATATCATGCAATAAGCGTCTCTGAGAATAACTAGATTGCGCTTAATGTTTTTGGTTTATTTTGTTTTAGGTAAGCCTGGCCAGTGATCCATGTAGTGTTGAAGAAATCTTACGGGTGAGTTTAAACCTTTATTTCTGTGCCTTTTAATAATGAAGCAATCTGTCTGCTTAAGCTGTTTACAGTAATTACTGTTCTGTTTCCACGAGTATCACTTCAAGACCCTTCTGCTCATACCTCCTGTGTCATTCCTTACCTGTCGCCTCCTCCTTCTTTAATCAAGGTAGTCTCCTAATCTCACCACACTTCTGCCCCATTCTTGCCTCCTCCTGGGTCTTTCTTTTGAAGTCTGAATGGACTCACCACCTGTTTCAGGAAACTTTCCCCATTCAAGCATCCTACTCTAAATCGTTGCTTTTCTGCTCTTGGGATGTCATGTCAACGTCACTGCTGCCTCCCACTGCATTGTGGATGGCACATGGTTATGGAAATCATAGCTTTTTATGAGGGGATGAGATGTGGAAAGGCGGGGCAGAGGGGAGGAGGAGAGACTTGAGACTGATGGCGAGTGGTGGGAAATGTTACTAAATAGGAGTGAATTTATGCGTGAGAATGGCGTGGAGGCCGCACAAAGTTGCAAAAGGTGGCAATAACCTCTGCCAAAGGGAGCGATTAAACCAAGAAGAAAAAACAAGCCAGAAAAATGTATGTCCTTTCTCTGGCCATTGGCATCACAAGGCGACATGGTATATGAACAACGGGAGTCACTGGAGGGAGGTCCAGACCTGCCTCTACCATTTGTCACTTCTGTGGACAGATGACTGCATCTTTCTGACTCTCCCTTCCTCGTCTGTAAAAGAGGGCAATAATATGTGTCCTGATTCCCTTAAAAGCTGCCAAGTGGCATATAGCAGCTTGTTAGGATGATAAATGATGATCAGTATGACCATGAGAAAACCATGCAGGCTTTCTATTGGGGAAAGAAAATAATCTGTGCGTCAGTTAAAATTCTGCACCCCTTTTCCTCACAAGCTCCACAAGCTCCCCCTGGTAAGTGCCTTCGCAGCAGCCCAGTGTTGGGAGCAAACCATGTGAAAATGCAGCCAAAGGAGTAATAAAGAGCAGAAAGCTGCTTACCATCAAATTGACTGGCCTCGTGATTTTACCTGTTGTGGATATTCGTGTACCTTTTCAGCTCAAGAACATTGTTACTGACTATTAAAAAGGAGCCCTGTCACCGATCAGAGATGAGACTATCTGAATTAGGGGTATACCCATGACTTTGGTAAGATAATAGCCCAGAAACCCCTCAGTCATCTCTCTGTGGGGTCCAAGGATCTGGGTTTGGGACAGACGACTGTTGTGAGATCCACAACTGTGATGCATCCTGGGAACCCAGTTGCTTGCTCCTTCTAGTGGGTGGAGAAAGGTCTGATATACAAACACACCAAATCCTTGCTAGTGTGCCGGCTGCAATCCTTAAAGAAATATCTTGCCGTAGTCTCTCTGAGTGCAGTTGTCTTGTTTTTCCAAACGATGTCAGTGGTCTTAACTCCCAAATGACTGTCAAACCCATTTCAACATCACCACCTACTTTGTCACAATTGCCAATCTCTACTTAAGAGCAGCCTGGCCCCCGTGCATAGGTGGCTCACACAGTGACTAATCAAGGGAAGCAGATGCCCACCTGTTAGGGGCTGGCGACTCCGGTCTGCTGGAGAGGCCACTTAGAGAAACACCAGAATGTCACTTAATCATGGAAAGAAAAGAAGCAGGTTGCTTTAAGCCTGTAAAAGAGAAATTGTTCTTGAAAGAGAAATTAAGGAAACGTCTTTTTACTTTTTCAACAACACTGTTAATGAGTGTGGGCTTTCCTTTATTGAAGAGTGACACATTTCATCCCCCATGCTTAGAATAAAAACAAGATTTCTTAAGTTTACGTCCCAAGTTTTACTACTAATTCTTAAATTGTAGTACGTTTTTGTTGTCACACGTTCATTTCCATTTGTTTGAGGGCCTTGGGAGCCCTTTGGATGGCTCCACAGTAAGTCTCTTTGCTCCCCCTCTGCCTCCTTCTTGGGAGGGATCACTTTTTCTCTTTCTCTCCAACTCTTTCTAACCCCCTCAGTGATTTTCAAATGAAGTGGGGTCAAGAGCAAGTGAGGTCGTCTTCTCTCCCTCGAGGTAGCGATACAGACGAAGGATGTCCAGCCCAGGGGCAGGCAAAGCTGGCTCCCAGTTGCTTATGACATTTCATTGCTTCCTACCTATGTGTCTTCATCTAGAAAACAGGGGTAACTATTCACCCTTGCACCCCACCACCCAGCTGCAGAGAAGGAATCTTTAAAGTGTAGACACTGTTTGCATATGTAACACGGAAAGCTCTATCTGTTTGCTCTCCCAACTTCCCAACCTCCCGGCTTCCCCGCTTGTTGCCTTTACAGCACCACAGGCAAATGCATGCAAACCCATTTCATCTCACATAAGGACAGACCTCTTTTATTAACTAACCAAGGACAACACAGCAGCCCTCTCCCCACTCACAGTCCCTCAGTACCCAGGCAATGGAAATACTTTTGCCTAATGCATTTCATTTTGGCCCCCTTTTTGAAAATGCTGTTCAAATCCAAACCAGTCAGCTCTCTTCAAAAGTTCCTCTCACCATTTCTCTGATAATGGGCTCAGCTCCCCTTCAGACCAGCGCTTCCATTCTCTTTATGCTCCTGGCTCTCATACCAGGCTGGAGCCCACCTTCTCTGTTCTTCCAGGGCTCGCTTATATGGCAACCTTATTTCCCTGTGGCACATGAGTGCCTTTCAAAGCACTGGAACTTCATTAGCTTATCTTGATCATATGAAATGTGGTATTTCCTTATTATTTCAGGAAATTGATGCCCAGAGAGGTTATAACTGACCGGCAAACAAGGGCAAGGCTAATAGATGGCAAAAAGCAGAAAGAGAGCCTGGTCTTTGTTTTGTACTACACCTAACTGTCAGCCACCCTATAACAAACCTACACTGAGAATCTTTTGATTACAAAAATTGCTTCGATCCTACTTCTGGGAATATATCCAAAGGAAACAAAAACACTAACTCAGAAAGATATCTGTACTCCCTATGTTCATAGCAGCATTATTCACCGTTGCTAAGACATGGAAACAACCTAAGTACCCACTAATGGATGATAGGATAAAGAAGTTGTGGTGTCTATATAGAATATTATTCAGCCATAAAAAATGAGGAAATCCTACCATTAGTCACAATATGGATGGACCTTGAAGAAGACAAATACTGTATGATCTCCCTTATACCGTGTTTCCTGGAAAATAAGACCTAACTGGAAAATCAGCCCTAGCATGATTTTCAGGATGCTCGTAATATAAGCCCTACCCCAAACCTAAGCCCCAGTTAAGATCGTCCGCCAGACGTGACTGTTTGAATAAATGTAGATTTTTGTACATGAATAAATGAATAAATGTAGATTGTTGGAGCAAAAATTAATATAAGACCCAGTCTTATTTTCAGGGAAACACAGTATGTAGAATCTTTAAAAAAAGCAAACTCATGGGAAAGGACATTGGACTTGTGTTTACCAAAGGCATATGATGCAGGGAGGGGAAACTGGAGGAAGGTGGTCAAGAGTATAAACTTCCAGTTATAGCATAAACGAGCACTATGATGGAATTGCCAACGTGATGTCTACAGTCACCACTACTCTATGACATATAGAAAAGTTGTTGAGAGTACATCTTAGGAGTTCTCATTGCAAGGAAGAATTATTTTTCTTTCTTTTCTTTTTATTGTATCTATATGAGAAGATGGATGTTAGTTGGACTTATTGTAGTAATCATGTCACAATATATATAAATCAAACCATCATGCTGTAAGCCTTGAACTTATACAGTGATGTATGTCAATTATTTCTCCATAAAACTGGGAAAAGTAAGACCTGCCAAAAAAACCCCAATTCTTCAGATACTGGCTGACTTACTTCTAGAAGCTTTAACTCAGAATATCAGCAAAGCAACATAATTTGAGCAGGTCTCGGGAATGAATTCTTTCTTCTTAATATTTTCAAATCTCATTTCAAATAATAAAATAATACCAGTAACAAGTTACTGCTGCTAATAAAAGAAATAACAACAGTAATTTTAATGTGCCACGTACTGTATGCCAGGAAGAGTGCTTAAGCATATTATGTCATTTTCTCTTCATAACAGCCCTAAAGGATTGTATTATTAGTCACATTTTACAAAACAGGAAAGAATGAAACCCAGAGAGGTTAAGTAATGTGCCCCTAGGTCTGTGACAATGTCATGTTAACCATTCCTTCTGTTCCTGTTTCTTTACTCGAATCCATCCTTCATTCACTAGCTCCAATCCACTTTAGGATTAATATTATAATGATATCAACCAACAGCTTATTTCAGCTTCTGTTGTTTCCTTCATTTGTCCAAATTCAATTATGTCAAAATAATTTCAAATAGTTTTTCAAACAAAGCAGAATTCACCAGCCTCCAGCGCTTTTCTGCCAAACTGCCCGTCTCCTGCAGTGTAAGTTGTATAAGTTCAGATGTGTTTGCTGCTTGTCAAGTCCATTATTGCTTATTATAAATTTTACAAATCAGAAACGTAAAAGCAGCCATCTGTGCAGTGCAGCCCAGCCGGTGTACCTGCTTCTGTCAGCATGCCATTTTCTCTTTAGAGTCAAGCTACCCTCAAGTACAAACAGAAATGAAAAATAATAACAATTCTGGGCCCAATGATGGCATTTTGCAGTTACAATTCATCTATCATATGAGGGATCCTTAAGCTGCTCATATGTAATCATATGGGCAGCAGCGGCGGCTTCTTTTTTGAGCTCCACAGGGTTTTATGGGTCCTAGAGTAATCATTTCTGGAAGAGTAAAGCTAAGGGGAGCAGCACACACTAAGTGCTACGAGCTAAGGAGGGATGTTCAATGATTATTTGTTCTGCAGTAGTATAATTTATTTGTTCCTAGCAAGAATTTACTTTAAAATATCAATAATCTATCAATTAAATCCTTCCTAGAGTAAAAAATGCAGATACAGTGCTGCTCTTTGATTTGGCACTGAACAGATTGCATTTCCTACCAA